AATGGATAGAACGGACCATTTATTCGGGTCCCCCACAAAGGGATCAACATTTTGAATAACCAAAAGGCTCATAAAATGCGAAGTAATCCTCCAATTCTTTTCAAACTTCCCACATTCCGATATTTCAACCAACACAATATCTAGGAATAGCGGCATAGCGGACCGCACCTTCTGGTGCCTTCCCCACAAAGTTAACATTTTGTGTATTTTTTGGAAAGTGCCTAAAAGTATGCTATAAAATATGTCCAATAAAACACAAGAATCCATGAATCAACAACGACATATCTTTGATGATTGGATCCTTAAAAAAACATGAAAGTGATCCGAAAATTCATCCAAACATCATCTCGACTGATGTGACCAAAATCCACCTTGGTTGCCACGTCAACAAACCAAAATGTCATATTTGGGTCTCGGAAAACCCAAAAGTTTTTTTTTTTTTTTTTTTTGAGAAGCCTCCCTTCTCCGTCTTCTAGGTGCGCATCGAGATTATTAGATATACGAACAAATTTTCCACTGAGATCAAATTTCCCACAGGAGAACCCAAACGATCTATGAGTTTCTGGCAAAAAAGGGTAGCTAGTTGACTCTCTGGAAATCTGATGTACGGTTAAGGAGAGAATTTTTCAAATGATTTTTAAAACATTTTTAAAGAATTTTCCCAAGGGTATTATGAACACTTTAGGCGTGGTTTTTTAAGGTTTTTTGAAGATTTGTTCAAAGGTGTTTTAACGATTTTCTTAAGAATTTTTCATAGGATATTCTGACCAAATGATATTCTAGCTTCGTTAGATGTGGATTTTTTTTAAGGATTTTTAAGAATCAGTGGTAAGAATCATTTTAGGCTTGGTTTTTTAAAGAAATTTTCACAGATTTTTTTAAGAAATTCTGACTACTTTAATCGTGGAATTTTTAAGGATTTTTAAAGAATTTGTCAAAGGATTTTTTTTATGGATATTTTGACAACTTTTCAAAGGATGTTCTGACCACTCAAGGCGCGGATTTTTAAATAATTTTTCGAAGAATTTTTAAGAATTTTCAAATTCTGACTAATTTAGGCGAGGATTTTTAAATAATTTTTCAAAGGATTTTTCAAGATTTTTTGATAGGACATTAATAAAAATTTCAAAGGATTTTTAAAGAATTTTTAGAAGAATATTCTGACCACTTTAGGCGGGGACTTTTTAAGAATTTTTAAGTCATTTTCAAAAAAGAATTTATAATCAATTTTTTAAGGGATATTCTGACAACTTTAGGCGTGGATTTATAATGAATTTTTTTTCAAAAGATATTTATTGAATTTTTCAAAGGAATTTTAAAGAAATGTTCAAATGATCACTGGATTTCTAAAAAATGTTCAAAGGTTATTCTGACTACTTCAGGCATGAATTTTTAAGGAATTTTTCAAAGGATTTTAAAGATTTTTTCAAAGGATATTTTGACCTCGTTGACGTGGATTTTTAAGAAATTTTTAACGGATTTTTAAAAGTTTTTCAAATGATATTCTGACTAGTTTAGGCGAGGATTTTTAAAGAATTTCTCAAAGGATTTTTAAGGAATTTTTCAAAGGATATTTTGACCATCTAATGTGTGGATTTTTGAAGAATTTTTAAAAGGAGTTTTAAAGATTTTTTCAAAGGATATTCTGACTAGTTTAGGCGTAGAATTTTAAAGAATTTTTTTTTTCAAAATATATTTAATGAATTTTTCACAGATTTTTAAAGAAATTTTCAAAGGATATTCTAACCACTTTAGGTAGAATTTTTCAATGGATTTTTAAAGGATATTCTGATCACATAAGACTTGGATTTTTAAAGAATTTTTCAAAGGATCTTTAAACGACGTTTAAAACAACATTTCAAAGAATATTCTGACCACTTTAGGCATGGATTTTAATAGAATTTTTCAATGGATTTCTAAAGGTTTTTTCTGATCACATAAGACTTTTTTTTTTAAAAATTTTTTAACGGATTAAAAAATCAAAGGATATTCTGACCAATTTATACGAGGATCCTTAAAGATTTTTTTAAAGGATTTTTAAAAAAAATTTCCAAAAGATATTCTGAACATTTTTAAACTAATGTTATCTGTTCCAAAGACACTTCTACTTTATACATGATCCACAACACTTCTAACCATGTTTGAAGCGTTGACAAATGATATTCCTATTTGGAATGCTAGAATAGGGATACGTAGGTCGAGTTTTGATTGACAGTAAGTTGAAGCTTTTGAACTAATACTGACTGTTGTAAAGTTACGGACACATCTACTTAATTCTTGATCTATTGAAAGCTTTCGACAATGTCAACTAAGCTAAACTACACGAGGAAATCGCGAACACAACACTCCGACCGTGTTTGGAGCTTTGACCGATTATATTTCTATTTGGTGTTCAGAATAGGGATACGTAGGTCGACTTTCGTCTGACTTTCGATTGAGGCTTTTGAACAACTATTGGTGATTTTCTGCTTTTCTTAATTTATGTTTAACCTTTTGTGAAGTTATTTTTTTATCGACATGTGTACAACTTCTATTGTGGAACGTATTTTTTAATGGTTTGCCTAAGACTGAACGAACACAACACTCCGGCCGTGTTTAAAGTGTCGATCGATGATATTCCTATTTGGAATGTCAGAGTAGGGATATGTAGGTCGACATTTTTCTGACTTTAAGTTTAAACTTTTGAACTAATATTGACTGTACTAAAGTTATGGGCACTTCTACTTAATCCTTCAGCTATGGAAGGCTTTCAACAATATCAACCAAGCTAAGCTATACAAGAAAATCGCGAACACAACACTCCCACCGTGTTTGAAGTGTTGATCGACGATATTCGTATTTGGAATGCCAGAATAGGGATACGTAGGTCGACATTTGTCTGACTTGAAGTTTAAACTTTTGAACTACTATTGGCTGTACTAAAGTTATTGGTACTTCTTTTTAATTCTTGGTCTATTGAAGACATTCGACAATGTCAACCAAGCTAAACTATACGAGGAAATCGTGAACACAATATTCCGACCGTTTAATCGATGATATCCCTACTTTGTGTTCAGAATAGGGATACGTAGGTCGACTTTCGACTGACGCCTTTGAACAACTATTGGTGATTTTCTGCTGTTCTTAATTTATGTTTAACTTTTTACAACATTAGCTTTTCCTTGATAGGCAGTTGAATTTATTTTTTATCTATTGTGGAACGTATTTTTTAATGGTTTGTTTCAGACTGCACGAACACAACACTCCGGCCGTGTTTGAAGCGTCAATCGATGATATTCCTTTTTGGAATGCCAGAATAGGGGTATGTAGGTCGACATTTGTCTGACTTTAAATTTCAACTTTTGAACTACTATTGGCTGTACTAAAGTTATGGGCACTTATCCTTAATCCTTGACCTATTGAAGGCACTCGACAATGTCAACCAAGCTAGACTATACGAAGAATTCGAGAACACAACATTCCGGCCGTGTTTGGAGCTTTGACCGATTATATTCCTATTTGAAGTTGAGAGTAGGGATACGTAGTTCGACATTCGTCTGACTTTCGATTGAGGCTTTTGAACAACTATTGGTGATTTTCTGCTGTTGTTAATTTATGTTAACAAGCTGTCCTTGATCGGCAGTTGAATTTATTTGTTTTATCGATTTGTGTACATCTTCTATTGTGGAACGTATTTTTTAATGGTTTGCCTCGGACTGCACGAACTCAACACTTCGGCCGTGTTTGAACCGTTAATCGATGATATTCCTTTTTGGAATGCCAGAATAGGGATACGTAGATCGACATTCGTTTGACTTTAAGTTTAAACCTTTGAACTGCTATTGGCTGTACTAAAGTTATTGGCACTTCTACTTGATCCTTGATCTATTGAAGGCTTTCGACAATGTCATCCAAGCTAAACTGTACGAGGAAATCGCGAACACAACACTCCGACCGTTTTTGAAACTTTAATCGATGATCTTCCTACTTGGTGTTCAGAATAGGGATACGTAGGTCGACTTTCGTCTGACTTTTGATTGATTGAATTATTGGTGATTTTCTTCGGTTGTTATTAACCTTTAGCCTATTGTAATGTTAACTAGTCCTATATCAATGTCGGACGTAACTTTTTATCGATTTGTGTACAACTTCTTTTGTGGAACGTATTTTTTAATGGTTTGCCCAAGACTGAACGAACACATCACTCCGGCCTTGTTTAAAGCTTTAAAGTTTTTACTTCTATTTGGAGTTCAGAGTAGGGATACATAGGTCGACTTTCATCCGACTTTCGGTTGGCGATTTTCTGCTGTTGTTACATAATGTTTACCCTATTATAATGTTAATCCGTCCTATTTATTTGCATGAAAGCTTTTAGTATTAAAGTTATTAATAAAATTTACAAAAAAAAATTCTGTTCCCAAGACTTTTAAGGATTACTAATAAATCATAGCTGCCAAAAAAAGCTCTGATCAAAAACTTCTCATTCTTAACAAAGGGCTTAAATTTTGAAACTTCTTGGGTTTAACTTTGATTCTTACCAAAAAATTACTTTACATTACCATTTAAACACCGCCACTATTTTTAAAGGCTTCGTCATTAACTTATCAACAATAACAACAACGACAACAAACACAAACAAACAAAAAAAGTTTTTTGTGTTCTCTAACGACATCCTTGTCGTCGTCGTCATCATCATCATCAGCATTGCCGTCGTCTATATTGTTTATATATAAATATATGTATATTTTTCCCGAATACTATACGGAAAATGAAAGTTATTTTCGGTGAATATGAAAAACAATAACAACAACGACAATGACTCAATTCTTGGAAAACATGCTTCTCTTTGCCCGAAAACAAGCAAAATAACAACAAAAATTTACAACCAATTTCCAGTTAACTCAATTTATTTATAATTTCCCTTTTCTTTTCCTCTCTCGTTCTCTTTCATGGTCTCTGCTTCTTCTTCATCCATTATGGTGTGGTAACGGCACGGATTCAAAATCAAAACAAAAACACAGAAAATCCTTTCGTCGTCGTACTTTCACCTTAACAACAAAAATAACAGTCACAGCCGAATCGTCAACATCATCATCATCGTCATCTCGTCATCAGCTGTGTGGGGACGTATAGCGCGTAAATACGTCTCTCTGTCTGTCTGTGAGTGTGTGTGCGTGTGTCACAGTCTGTTTGATACAGCAGCAAGTGTTTTTTTTAAATGATGAATTTCTCCGCGTTCGGTGGTCCGTTTTCGGGTATACATCAGTTTGCCGCTAAATTTGGCCATGATACACAGACGCCACCGGGCGCCTTTACAACGCCCGGCATAAATGGCAATATTGGTGGCGGCGCCACCTCCGTCAACGACAATCATGTGCAACGCTATCAAACAAATGGCAATCATTTTCAACAGAATGTGCCGAACGGTAAGTGGAAATGTTATATTTTTTGTTTTTAATTCTATTTTGGTGTTTTTTTCTTTCATTTCACATTCATATTCATTCATTGATTCATTTCGTATTTAAACTTCATTCAAGATCATATGGCGTCAACAATTTTGGATATTTCGGAAAGGACTAGGAACATTGTTAATGGATGTAGGTTTACTAATTTTTTTTGCAATTACATTTTTTTCTTTAAAATTCTGCATACCAAAAAATAATAATTTTTAAACAAAAAAAAATTACACATTTTCCTAATAACAGAAGTTTTCCTCCTTTGATAGTCTAACACAAACATTTCCTTAATTCCATGAAAACTGGGTTTAAATTTGGTCTGTTCTAGAACTGCAAGAATGTGAAACTTTTTACTGCGATAACAGATTTCCTCTTTATGATATCGGGGAAAATTGCAGAACTAGTAGATTCCTGCAGGTTCTGGAACAGAGCAATTATCTTCATTTCGGGCTATGTTTTCATTTTTTCGGCCGTGGAGTCTTAAATGGCGATAATGTAAACGTAGTTTTAGGGGAAATATAAACTAAAGCTTACTTTAAAAAATAGTGTTTAACAATTTTTTTGGTGATTTTAATGATTTAATGATGATGATTTTAAATTTATAAAAAAATCACAAAAAAAAGTTCTGAACTCAGTTTTAGCCATCTGTTTAAACTATCACTTAGTATTAAAAATAAAAAATACCGATTATGGTCTTGAAGTAGTATATAGACTTTTCCTATTATTAAAATTCTAAAGTTGACCCCCAATTAGTGTAGCGTATTTGTTTTCTCTGTATACTTTACTTTTCTACGTAATCTTAGACCAATATTTTATTAACATAGGGATCTTTATTGGGACGTGAAGAGTTTTCAACAAAATAACTCTAGATTTTCTTAAAAAACGCAATTAACCCAGTTTGTCTTTATTTCACCGTTAACAACACTTATTGTACAACTCCGTTTACTATACGTTACGTATCCAACTAATTATGCACCGTTAACTACATTATTTGGAAGTGAGTGATCAATGCGACGTAAAACGCACTATGCAAATGTAAACAGAGAAGAGAGTAAAGAGAATACAAATATTTAGACAGTATACAAGTAATATTAAGAGACCTACATATAAGAGAGATTGAAGCTGATGGACGTCGGCTTACAGCTGGTCTACTCCAGAATTGCGAGAATGTAAAATGTTTATACTACGATAATCGATTTTCCCTTTATGATATCGAAAAAATTGCAAAAATATCAGATTCTTGCATTGTATTGGAATAGACAAATAAAGGTATAAACAAGTATTGTCACGTCGTTATTTAATCATTCCCTACTTAAATGCGTCTTGAGAAAAAAATATTTAGAGCAAAAAATAATTCCAAAAACAAAAAAACAAAAAAAAAAAAAACACTTTAAAAAGAATCAGTCGGTTTTGCCGATAGATGTATAACCTCAGCCAGTGTTCGAATTTCAATTGTTGACCATCTATGGCGTAGGTTCCGAAGGAATTAGCCAATATTGTCCATATCGTTGCGGAACTAAATATATATCGACTACTACCTTCACTTAGCATGAGATATGTGATAATTTTTGTAAAATATTTAAATGTGTGTGAGGTACCAGACATAGTCGGCCGAAGTATACCATTTTTATACCCTCCACCATACATAGTATGGAGGGTATATTAAGTTCGCCATTCCGTTTGTAACTCATCGAAATAATAATTTTATATATATATATATTCTTGATCAGTGTAGAATTCTAAGCCCTGTCCGTCCGTCGGTCTGTTGTAATTACGCTAGAGTCAAAAGGAAGCTAAAATTTTGCACGGATCAATCTTTTGGCTGCAGGCATGTTTAGTTAGAAGATGGTCTACCCGGTCCACGATATCGTATAGCCCTCATATAAAGGTACCCCCCCGATATTCGGTATTTGGATGATTGTAGCCAAATTTTTCAACGAAATTGTCTGAAAATCCAAACAAGGAGTTCTTTCTAAGCATTTAATTCTCCGGAAGAGAATTGTCTATATAAGACCTCAATATCGTATAGCCCCCATACAAGGGAACTCTTCAATATTCGATATTTTTATGATTTTAGCTACATTTTCCAATGAAATTGTCTAAAAATCCTTACTAGCAGTTCTTTCTAAGCACTCTATCCCTCTGGAAGAAAAAAAATTCTATATAGGTCCACGAAATCGTATAGTCCACACACAACGGTACCCCCCGATATTCGATATTTTGACGATTATAGATACATTATACACCGGATTTGTTTCAAATTTCATTTTTAGAATTCGTAATGTGTACTAAAGCCTATGACAAAAAATTGCGTATGCAGGCCCAAGTCTTCGTTTAGCCTCCATATATGGGTACCTCCCTGTATTCTGCATTTTGACCATTTTAGTTACAGTATTCACTGAAATTGTTTGAAATTTCCTATTTGAAGTTCCTAATAGGTTCTACAGCCTGTGACAGAAAATTGTCGGGGCTATGTCGAACCTGGACCTGAGTTCGTATAGATCCGTCATAACAGTACCTCCCTATATTCGGTATTTTGATGATTTTTGCTACATTCAAGTTTCGTATTTGAATATTGTGATGAATTATCACAAAAGTTGCCTATGCAGGTCCACGTCTTCGTATAGATCCCAATATAACGGCTATATTCGGTATTTTTAAGATTTGAACAGAATTTTTAATGGATTTTATTTATTTATTTTTTTTTTTTTCAAAATTACCAAAATTTCCATTGTTCCAAATGTTGGAGGGTATTCAAATTTAACACCCCAATTTTTCTATCTACACAAGATCTGGTGTGGAAATGGGAAATATCGGCCTACACCTTTGGGTACCTCCCCCCAAATTGCGTTAACATTTTTGAATAACCAAAACCCTCATAAAATGTTAAATAAACATCGGATTCTTTTCAAACTAGGAACATTCTAATATTTTTACTAAAACAAGAGCTTGTGTAAAAATGGGAGACATCGCACCACTCCTTCTGGCACCTCCTCCACAAAAATCAATATTTTGAATAACAATACGCTCATAAAATGCGAAACAAGTCAGAACTGTTTATAATGTGAAGAGATGTCGGTCCAAATTTTTACGAAAAAAAAAAAAAAAAAACAAGTAAAAAGGCAGCACAGTTCGTCCGTGCCGAACTTTTAATACCCTCCATCATTTTAAAGAGACTTGAAAATTTTCCAAAAATACCGCTCAAAGGAAAAGCGTTATATGATGGGGGCTATACGAAGATGTGGTCCGGTATATACAATTTTTTGTCATAGGCGAACTTTAAATGCGAAATTTAAAGCAATTCTAGTAAAAATTTCGCTAAAATCATTAAAACACCGAATAAAGGGGAGTACGGCTATATGTGGGCTATACGAAGACGTGCACCTGCATAGGCAATCTTCGCTCATAGGTTGTAGTACACATTTTGAATTTCAAATACGAAATTTGAAATAATTCCGGTAAAAAAAAAAAAATTCGCTAAAATCGTCAAAATACTGAATGTCGGCGGGGACCCTTGTATGTGGGATATACGATATCGTGGTCCTATATAGACAACTCTCTTCCAGGGATTAAAGCACTAGGAAGGAACTCCTTTTGTGGAATTTCAGACAATTTCATTGAAAAATTTGCCTACGATCATCAAAAAAAAAAAAAAAAAACCGAATATCGGAGGGGTAAAGTTATATGGGGGATATACAACTTCGTGGGCCTATATAGCCCATCTTCGAACCTGACCTGCCTGCAGACAAAAAACTGAACTGTGCAATATTTTAGCTTCCTATCTTAATTCCTTTTGACTCTAGCGTTATTACAACAGACGGACAGACGGACGCAAGGACGGAAGGGCTAAATCGTCTTAGAATTTTTATGGTGATCAAGAATATATACACTTTGTTAGGTCTGAAATTATTATTTCGATGAGTTACAAACGGAATGGTGAAGTTAATATAGCCTCCATACTATGTGTATGTTGGAGGGTATAAAAATGGTCGATATAGTTCAAATTCGGGTATAAAAATTGTCGAATAGTCCAAATTCGACATGGTGTAATATTCATATCAGACTTAGGTCATCCCACCTGCATAGAAATTTACTTCTTCCAACCAATCGGATACAATTTTTGACTTTTCCCAAACAGTGGACATAACATTTTCCCGATATTGAAAAAAGTTGACAATTTCGATTGAGCCTTTTTATACCCTCCACCATACTATGGAGGGTATATTAACTATGTCATTCCGTTTGTAACTCCTCGAAATACTCATGTCATACCCAACAAAATATATATATTCTTGATCAGCGTAAAATTCTAAGTCGATTTAGCGATGTCCGTCTGTCGGTCACGCTATCTTTCGAACGAATTGAGATAGAAGGCTAAAATTTTGCATATGTGTTTATTTTTCCAGTAGGCAGGTTACGTTCGTAAATGGGCCATGTAGGTCCATGTATTCATATAGCCCCCATATAACGGTACCTCCCGATATTCGGTATTTTTATGATTTTAGCGACATTATTCACCGGAATTCTTTTTCAAATTTGGTATTTGGTATTTGTAATGGATACTACAGCCTAAGACAGAAAATGGGCCATGTAGGTCCACGTCTTCGTATAGCCCCCCTATATAACGATACCTCCCCATATTCGGTATTTTGATGATTAAAACGACATTATTCACCGGAATTGTTTCAAATTACGTATTTAGAGTTCGCAATGGGAACTACAGTCTGTGAGAGAAAATTTCCTATGCAGGTCCAGGTCTTCGTATAGCCCCCATTTAACAGTTCCTCCCTATATTCGGTATTTTGACGAGTTTAGGTACAATACCCACCGAAATTGTTTGAGATGTCGTATTTGAAGTTCGTAATGGATGCTATAGCCTGTAACAGAAAATTGTCTATGCTGGTCCACAGCTACGACATAACGGTATCTCCCTCTATACGGTATTTTGTTGATTTTAGCTACATTATTCGCCGTTTATTTCATGTTTCGAATTTGTATAGTTTCGTATAGACGTCGTAAAGACAAACAATGCCTATGTAAGTCCACGTCGTATAGACCCCAATAAAACGGCTATATTTTTACAATTTTAACAGAATTTTTTAAGGATTTTATTTTTTTTTTTAATTTCCAAATCCATTACA